TCTGGCAACTGTCTAATCAAATTGGGGGTCAAGTGTCTCTCCCTCTCCCTTGCTGCTCTCCTGTGATTGAAATGGCTGCAGCTGCTGGTGAAACAAGCCCAGAGAGGGTTTGTGTTGATGCACTCGCTGCCCTGAGCTCATTTGCAGTCTTTTCTGAATCTCGCTGAGATGCACTTGGCTTGTGTTCATATTGGTTCTCTTGCTGGTTCTCTGTTTTTCTCTTTGTCTCTCTTTCTCTCATGCCACCTCTTGTGGGGACTCTTAAAGGCAGAAATCTGCAAAGTGAGGGGGCTGGTCAAGGAAAAGTCCAGGGAGAGCAGAGTTCGAGGGACAGGTGACCTCTCGGGGTCTGCAGGAAAAGTGGCATCTGGCTGGGAGCTGCCTCCATGTGCGTTATGAAAAGGATAACATTTGCCTTGGAGCTGGCACTTCCCTGGGTTGGGCGCCGTCCCCCTACTTTTTCACCTCATGGTTGGAGGTGAGCGTGTCTCCGGCTTGAAGGAAATGGACACCACTTGGTGTCTGATGCTGATGGAGGGAGAGCGCTGCCTGGACTTGAGTGTGAACCTGAGCCATCTACGGCGTCCTGGAAACTTGGACACGGCATCCCCTACATGGCCGTTTGTCATTCTTGCTTGCCAAGCCCCCCTTGATGCTGGGAATGGAGAAATGGAAGAACAGAAGGCGTCGGGGCTTCCCTTCACTCCACCCTTCCCCTCTGCTGTCTGCTGGTCTCAGGCCTACTTCCTCCCTCCCTGTGCTCTGAATAGAGCCATCGCCATGCTGGAGAGGAGATCTCAGCCTCGGGAGTGAAGTGGCCCTTCCCTGTCACCCCAGGTTCGGACGCGGGCTTCGTGTGTGTTTCCCAGCTCCGGGTGCCTGTGCTCCTCCTCCTCTGCCTCAGTGTGGCATGGAGAGTGACATGGAGGGAGAGGGAGAGACTGCGGAAGGGGTGGGGCAGCCATCGCTCCCTGATGCGGTTGCTTTGCCCTGTGTGGGTCCCCCCCTCCCCTCCCGCACACCCCCCCCCCCCGCTGGGTAAATGTGTATTTCCCTGTTCCTGTCACATACAGGAAATGCAATTCCCTGTCTGCACTTGCCAGTGGCTGGCACAAAAGTGGTGGGACGAGATGTCAGTGTGAGAAGGTGAGGGCTGAGCCTCTGTTCTGTACTTCATCCTCTCCTGTGGCCCCTAGGGAGAGAGACTGGCTCTGCTCACCCCATTTTATAATGGGTGACACTGAGCGCAGACACGACACATCTCTCAAAGTCAGATGGCACACGTGACGGGCCCCCTCCTCTCCCTGCAGCCCATCTGCCCTCTCACTGAGGGCCCCACTGGCCTGCTCTGCCAGGTGCTGGAATCGTTCCTCTCCATTTCCTGCTTTGCTTCTATCCGTGCTTCTCTGGATGGCCTGGTCTCTCTTGGTGGGCCATCCTGTTCTTCATGCTTTCACTCCTCCAGCCTGTGGGGCTCAGTGACATTTTGAGCAACTCTTGGCTGGTGAGTCAAGATCCTCAGGGTTCCCAGTGGTTGCAGAAGGGGAGTGAGGGCCTGTAGGGGGTGGGGTGAGGTAGGAGTGGAGCTGTCTTCAAGGCTGCCCACCCTTTGGGTGGAGCCCGGCCCTCAGGTCTGTGGAAGTCTTCCTGCTGCCCAGGAAGGCGAGCCACAGCCACCTCTCATTGAGCCTTGGCCCCTGGCCTGGGAGGCATTCTGCCTGACCCCGCGAGTGGGGATTTCCCTTTGGTTAGCACACTGACGTGTCTGCCACTCGCACCCGTAGGCTGTTAGTCATGTGGTAGGGAGCTTAGTACATATTTGAAGAAAGGGTGAATGGATGTCTACCACCTCACCCCAGCCCAAAACGGGTTTGGAGGACATGGATGAAGAAATCAGTAGAGTCTGCCAGTCAAAGACCATATGTTCCAGTTGGAGAGACCAACCAGGGCAATATTAGTGCCTCTCTGTGCAATTAAGCGAGCCATTGCCTGGAATACAGAGATAGGGAAATCCACGAGGCTGGGATGGTCCAGAAGGGGCTTCAAGCAGAAGGATTGCAGACGGGCCTTGTGGAGGTGGAAGGAGGGAGTTGGCCCTCCTTGTCATTAAAGATTTATTTATTTATGCATATAAGAACTGGGGTGTGGGCCAGAGATGCAGGGGGTGAGAGGATTCACCAGAGGCAGAGTGGGGAGCAGAACAGGCAATTCTACTGCAACACACTGCTGAGGGGAGCAGTGGGCGAGTCAGGAGAGGTCTGCCGTGCCATATGGGTCAGCTCCCTGGCTGGGGATCGAACTCAGGGCATAGCAGTAATAGTGAGATTCAACCCCTAGGCCACCATGGAGACCCCTGAGATGGTATTTGAATGCCTCTCTGGCGGGGAGAAGATGGCAACGAGTGGCTTTCCTTGTGATCTAGCATCTCTTCCCTGCCCCCACCCTGCAGGGGCTCAGTGCTGGCCTTACGCTGTGCACCTGCAGCTGTCAGCTCACATCCCCCTGACTTGTTCTAGAGGGTGACAATTGGCTAAAGCAGACAAGGAAGTCTTTGAGGGGGTTGTCGGGTTTCCTGTGGCCACAAGCTGGGTGGCTTCACACTTAGTTTCTTACAGTTTCTTACAGTTCTGAGCCCAGAGTCTGAAATCGAGGTGTGGGCAAGGCAGGCTCCTCTGAAGGTTTGAAGGGAGATTCTTCCCTGCCTTTCTTTTCACTTCCAGTGTTGTCTGCCATCCTTGTGTTCCTCTACCTCCATCTTCACATGGCCGTCTCCCTGCATGCCCACAGGGATATCTGTCAATGGTTGAGGCCCCTCCCTAAAAACCGAGACATCCTCTTTAACTCAGTTACGTCTGCAAAGAGTTTGCTTCCAAATGAGGTCACAATCACAGGTCTTCAGCCTACCTTTTCAGGTAACACATTTAGCCCCCAACAGGTGTAGACACTTTGTTTTGTTTGCCTCCAAAGCCTATTTAAAGCCTCTGTCCCCCTCAGCAACTTTTCAGGTCCCTGGAGCTCCGGTGGGGGTGGGTGGTGGGCAGAGACCACTCACACACCTCCCACACCTCCCACTTGCTCAGTTGTGGAGTGGGGCAGGCCAAGTCTGATTCTGCAGGGCTGACGGTTGGTTGGGCGCTGCTCCCCCTGTGTGGGGCTGGCGGTGAGGCTCTGGAGTGGTAGGAGGGATAAGAGGGGGCCAGAGAAAACTGCTGATTTCCTTTGTGTTGGCACTGAGGGGACCACTGAGGGCTCTTGGCCCCTGTTTTGCACAGGAATGAGGGGACCTGTCAGGCATGCACTTGTGCTTGGAGTTCTGGGCTGGTCCCTGGCTCCCTTGCTCAGGAGCTTTGTGACGCTGGGTGAATTATTTCACTTGTCTGAGGCCCAGCTTCCGCCTCTGTAAAGTGGGATAATAACAGCTGCTTGTCACATCTCACAGCGTTCGTATGAGGATCAAGTGAGGAGAGACGGATGTGAAAGCATCATTTTAAAATCATTTTTTATTGTGGTAAATTATACATAATATCAAATTTACCATTTTAACCATTTTAAATGTACAGTTCAGTGGCGTTAAGTACGATCACATTGTTGTGCAACCGTCACCGCCATCCGTCTCTGGAACGTTTTCATCTTTCCAAACACAGAATACCCATGAAAATCTATAAAGCAGGAACATTTTTTAATTCATTCACTAAATAAGGAAACCAAAGAAGTAAGGACTGAACTCATGCTGGGGGCAGAGCTGAAGTGAGGACTCTGTCCCCTAACAGCTCGGTGCTCATTGGCCTCCATCCCCCACTGCAGGCCTCATTAGGGTGGAATCCACTGGGGGCTTCTCTCCCTGAAAATCTCTTGGTTTGAACCAGAATTGCCCACATGAAGCTGCTTGCCCTGAGAGCCTTCCTCTCAGGCCTCCTGGCCTCTCAACTGCTTCTATCTCCTGCTTCCTCAGAGTTCCAGGGGAAACCCAGGCCAGTGGGGCCTGGAGTGACCTTTGGGATGGTTTTGTGAGGTAACTTGTGGTATGGACCGAGTATGTGCCGGATGTCTGGTGGGCTGAGTTCTGGCCCTTCCTTTGGTTGCCGAAGTGTTTTCACTGAGCACGTTTGTTGCGGTCCCACTGTGTGCCATCATTGGGTGGGTAAACAAGACCTTATTTCTCTGCCTGCAGTTGTGGGGCATAAATGATAGGATTTGTGAGGGTACTCACAGAAGGTGATGATGGAATTGGGGGAGGCAGCTGCCTCCAGCCTGGGCTGATGGTAACAGGACAGGAGGAAGGAGGGAGGTGAGTCCCCCAAAGGTTAGACTTGGCTGCCCCGGGCAACACATGATTGTCCCTGTCTGCAGACTGGGCCCGGGACAGATCCAGTCCGACAGCGTCTGCCTCCAACTGAGCCCAAGTAGTCCGGAAGCTGCCTTCAGTGTTGGCAGATAGGAGTGACTGGTCGTGGGTTTGGTCACCAGGAGGTGGGGTTGGGGGAGCTCGTAGAGGGACAGCCAGGGAGGTTTTGCTCTGATTTTCTGCAAAAAGAGACCAGGAATCCTGGGGGATGTCTTACCCTGGGGACTCACTGCCTCCTTTGACCCTTAGATGGATCCTGTGCGGGGTCAGGGATGATGGTCTGCATTTGGGGTGTGAAGAGTGATGTGGTGAAGGACTCAGGCGAGGTCACCCAGGAGTTTGCTGAGCAGAGAGTGAAGCCAGCTTCTCTGCCCCTCCCTGTCTCAGGCATTCCCAGCAAACCCACTTTTGGGCCTGTCTGTTCCTCTCACAGGTCCATTCAGAGCAGGCCATGCCTGCCTCCCCAGAAAGCCTCTGTTCTCAAGGAGTGACCGACCTGAGGCTCCCTGGGGCTTGGTTCCCCCACATTCCCACGTGCCTCTTCTCCCGCTTCCGGCCTCCTCCAGTCCGGGAAGCTGGGGAGCAGCCCCTGTAGCAGAGGCGGAAGGAAGGCAGCCAGACTAAACTTCTCTCGGTGGGTCTTCTCCAACACCAGGTCCCGGCTGGCGGATTTCCACGCCAATTGTCGTGCCTCCTACCAGACGCTCACCAGCTGCCCCGCTGACAATTACCAGGCATGTCTGGGCTCCTATGCTGGCATGATCGGTAAGCAGACCCCCGTGTGCCTGGGTTCTCTGGGCTGCCCCAGTCTCAGCGGGCGGGGCCGGGCCCCCTCAGGGCTGGTGGGAGCAGCCTGAGCTCGCCTCCTCAGAGCAAGTTTTATATAGAACTTCCTGGGGAACCAGAGGAGAGTCCAGCTCTATCCTAGGGGAGGAGGGTCCTGGGGACCTTTCAAGACTTTCAGAATCAGTTGAAAAGGTACCACTTAGTGCCTGGTTCTGAAATTCCAAAGATTGCACTAACCAGCCCAGCAGTAGCCCTGGACTGTCTTATTTAATTCAGACAGCAGTGCTCCCTAGAGAGGGGTTGGTGTCTGCGTTCTACAGATGGGAAAACTGAGATGTGGAGAAGTTGAGGGACTCGACAAGCTCACTGCGCTCGTGAGTGTGGGCACTGCATCCAAGCCAGCCTTAGTCTCCCTGACTCTAGAACACACATACTGCTGGTTAGTGGAGAAAGCGAGGGCTCAGGCTCCGGGAGGGCCGCTGGGCATCTCCACTGCTGTCCTGGCCTGTCCTCTCTATGCCCCGCTGTTGTGTTGTGCTAGCGATGCTGACATTGGGGTGTGAGCTGGGATGTATGCGTGATTGGGGGATGTGGAGGAGGAAGGACAAAGCCTCTTCTCTGCCGTGCCTGGGTGGGGGCCCAAAGAGCAGGCCTTACTGCTCCTTTCCCTTTCTCCCTGCCAGGGTTTGACATGACGCCCAACTACGTGGACTCCAGCCCCACCGGCATCGTGGTGTCCCCCTGGTGCAGTTGTCGTGGGAGCGGGAATATGGAGGAGGAGTGTGAGAAGTTCCTGAGGGACTTTACCGAGAACCCGTGCCTCCGTGAGTCCTGTTGTGCCCCTCCCCCCGGGCCTGGAACCCCCAACCCCCTGCTTTCCAGAGGGGCCCTGGAGTTGACTCTGGCCTCCCCCTTCTCTGTCCGTGGCTGCTGATCCATACGGGCTTCTCCAGCATGGGCGCTACCCACGGGACCTTGATATTGTGCTCTTGAAGATTCACACCTGAGCTCTTAGCTGGCTAGCCTCAGTTTACCACTGGAGTTCTTGAGCCTATGTCAAGTCAAGGATGAGTTTCTGGTCTGAGCTCAAGCCTTCAGAGACAGTCCTGAGGTGAGGGGTCTATTTCTTCTTGAATCAGGGACTTTTGATTCAAGTCGTAAACTCTTAATCCAAAAGCTAGCAAGAGAGGGATTAGGACAAGCTCTGTTTACCTTGATTTTCCTGGTCTGACACCCTGGGCCACGCCCACGTGACGGTCTTTTCCTTTTTTCCTTTTCTCCTTTCTTCCTTCTGTCCATCTGTCCGGTCTCTCCTTTTTTGTGGTGCTGGGATTCAGAGATGCAAGTTGCAGTATCTGCCATTGAGGAGCTTGCAGTCTGATGGGGCTGCCTCATCTAGGGTCACCTGAGACCACAGTATGGGGTGAACAGTGCAGTGGTGGAGGTCTGCACAGGGATCACCAGAAGCCCAAGGTGGGGGTGCCTGTCAGCCTACAGGAGGAGGCCCTAGAGACTTCTTGGATGCTGGTCCTGAGCACTTCAGCTGTAGAGGCAGAGAGGATAGGACTGTCCACCTGGGCAGAGTTGGATTGGGGGAACTCCGGATTGCTTAGCCTTCTGCAGAGCACAAGAGTGCTGGAGTTACCTGGACAGGTGGAGAGTCCTTCTCAGGAAGGCCCTGCAAACTGGAAGCTGTTTGGATCTGCTGGTCCTGCAGGCTATGGGGGTGGCTGTGTGGGTCACTGAAGGAGTGTCAGCAGGTGGAGCTGTGGGCAGCTCTTGGCTCTGGTGGGAAGCAGGTGTGGATAGGCATGTGGTTCTGACAGGTGGCCCAACACAGAGCCCACTTGGAGGGTACAGTAACTGCTCATGGGACTGTGCCTGCCATGACCCAGGCCAGTGGTGGGAGGGTGGAGAGGAGAGATGGAGAGAGAGAGCTTAAGGACATACTCCAAGTTGAGGGCAAGTGGTGGTTAGGGAGGTGTGCGGGGTTTGTGGGACCTGGTTTGGTAGAAATGGCACCTTCGAGACTGGAGACCAGGGGAGGTCAGTGTTGTAGTTAGAGGGAGTGGTACCTGGTCTAGGTGTGCAGATGTGATGGATGGAGTCTGGCACATTGGCGGGGAGGTGCCGTAGGTGCTTGGTTATAAGGTTATGTCTTGGGAACAGAGTTTTGTCTGAAAGTCTCATTAGTTAGCCCTCAGCGAACCATTGCTAGCTGATGGTGTGGGAGATGCCCCCTCCCCCCAGGGAAGGGGTGTGTTGTGTGGTGTGAAGAGGGAGGAGTACTGAGCCTGGCACCCTTGGAGGCCAGCGGCAGAGATCTGGAAACATCCCAAATGGCGGTGGAGCCAGAAGAACCTGTGCCTGGGGAAGCTTCTGGAGTGCTTTGTGGCACAGAATGAAGGTGTCCCTGACCTGTGCATGACCTGCTCCTCTCTTTCAGGTTCCCCAACTTCTTTTCTTTCTTTTTCTATGTTCATTCTTTCCATTCTGGTTTTCTGCCTTTTTTCAGCTCCCCCCTTGCTATACTCTAGATGTCACACCTCACAGGTATCTGAAAGGGAGCTTCAGCAAAGTTAAGTTTGCTGTGCCCGCAGTTTTTGGGCTGCCTCAGGGAGGTGGTGGTTGGTTTGGTGAGGGGCAGAAGTGATGGCTCCTGATTTCTGTGTCTACCTGCTCTCTCCCCACAGGGAACGCCATCCAGGCCTTTGGCAATGGCACGGATGTAAACCTGTCCCCTAAAAACCCCTCCTTCCAGGCCACACAGGCCCCTCGGGTAGAGAAAACGCCTTCTTTGCCAGATGACCTCAGTGACAGCACCAGCCTGGGGACTAGTGTCATCACCACCTGCACATCCATCCAGGTGAGGGGTCACGGTTCTGCCACTGGGGACAAGGAGTCAGGGGTAGGCAGGGGCCTGGAGAAGCACTGTGATGCCAGGGGCAGGTGTGGAAAATGAGCAGGGGGCCAGGAAGGGAGCCTCAGGTCCCTCCCTCGGGAGGGGCTCCCCAGTGGTGGGGGCATGTTTCCTTTGTATTCATTCACCAGGCAGCTGCCCTGCACGTATGAAACACCTGTTCTACACGGAATTGTGCTAGGAACCACGGGGACCCCGAGAAACATAATGTCACCGCTGGTTAGCCATCTGCCAGCGAGTGTGTCGGCGCATGTCCACCAGCGCATGTAATTCTCACACAGTGAGGTGTTGGCCTCTGGTTTCATACACAGGAAACTGACACAGAGGGGTTCTGCGACATGCCCCTGTCACTGCCACCACTGGGCAGTGGTGGGGTCAGGTTCCAAACTTTCATGTGACTCCGGTCCCATGATATTCACTTGTCTGTCCCTCCATCCATCTGTCCGTCTGTCTAGCACGCACGTGCATGCATTACGTAAGCAGTGTGTACAGACAGATTGCTCAGTTTCATGCCGAGGTGATGGGCAGCTCAGCCAGTCAGGGCTTGTCACCTGTCAGGTGACCATGCTCTGGTGTGTCCACGTGTCCCTCGGAGCCCTTGGGGCTGCTCACTGGGGATGTGCTGACTCAGCAGTGGCTGCTGCCCTTTCTGAAGACTCCCATGGGGAGTCACTGTGGATGTGGAAAGTCCCGTAGTGTGGACACTGCAGCCCCTGTTTTCCCTCAGCAGTTTGCAAAACCATTGCCCGCCTTTCTGCCCCAGCCTGGTTCTCTGCTGACTCTAGTCTGGGGACCCACCTTAGACTTGGCTTGAATCCAGGGGAGTTCGTGCACCTTCTGTAGGAAGTATCTGTGTGGAGGTGTCTGGTGCTCTGTGGAAAACTACACACGTCAGGAATGATAATTCCCAGGGGCTGCAGAGGCCATCTGGCAGGGGTCTCTTCTGGCCTGGCTCCAGTTGTTACAGGGCAGGGAGGGGGCACCCCAGGCCCTGCAAATCTGCCTGCTCTAAATAGGTTTCTGCCATCTACTGCATCAACACAAAACATCTGAGACTTTAATGGGAAGGAACTTTCATACAATTAGTAAACAATACAGGGAAGGCAAAGAGTCTAGTTTCTAAATCAAGCACCCAAAGTTACCCGTCCCCTCGTGGGTAAAAGTCCACCCAAGCAGGATTGGCCCAGAACAAGGCCCCAAAGCCTGCCACAAGTCTAAAGCATCTCCCAATGGGGATCCACAGAAAAGGATCAGAAACAACCAGAAAAGTCTGGAGGGAAAAAAGCAAAATCAAAATCAAGACAAAAACCACCATTGTCACCTCCCCACGGGTCTCACCCACATCTGTGTCACCCAGTCCATGACCAAAAGGCAAGTGTAGTTTCTTCTCGTGCCTCTCTGCTCCATGTGCCTCCTCCAGGTCTCCTTTTGGCTCCATCCTGCTTCCTTCCTTCCTCAGTCTCCTCTGCAGCCTCTTCTCTCCCTCTGTGTCTGTACCCCTTCCCCACTCAGGTTCTTAGTCCCACCTGCAGAGCGTGATCTCTCATGCTTCTGATGACACCTCACCGTGTGGGGCAGCCCCTCTCACAGAGCCCCAGGATTTGCTGTTGGAAGCCGGCCTTCTGTCACCCTTGGGCCTGAATCTTCTGGGACCCTGTAGACCCACTCACCCTGATCTTGTTTCCAGGTGTGGGGGGCTCAGATGAAGGGTGGGGGCAGGGCTGGAGCAGCCCACCTCTGTTCCCCCAGACCTCTGTTCCATTGGAATCCAAGAAATTTGGGGAGATGGTCTTAAGGGTGACCTGATGGTCTTAGAGGACAGCCTGTGCCCTGGGAGTTTGGGAAGTGCAGCCTTTCCCCTTCCTGTTCACTTAATGGTGTGGTGTGACTTGTGGGCTGTTTATTTCTCTCATTAAGGTGTGAGCAGGCCGCCCATTCCTCGGGGAGTTAATTGGGGAGGGAAGAAGCAATGAGTTTGAGCCACAGGTGGTTTGGCATGGGATAGTGGAACTTGTTTCTCTCTGCACCTCCCCAACAGGCCACTTGCGGAAAAGGTCAGGGGATGGGCAATGCCCCCATTGTTCTGTGTGCCAGGAGTGGGTGAGGGGTCTTGGGTTTGCAGATGGGGAAGGTTGCTGCAGCCTTCACTGTGTTTTCTGGAAGTCAGGGGGAGGCGCTTTCAGGGCTTGGCTATCTGAGCTCTTAGGGTAAGAGCTGGGTGGCCTTGGCCTAACCCTGGGTTTCACCCCACCCTGGCTTTTCCTGCCTTCCTCATATCTAAGCTCTGCTCAGCTTCTTGCTTCTGGAGTTCAGAAGCCCCGATCTTTGTGCAGAGCTTATAATCATCACAGTGGGTCAGCAAGTGCATCTGTCTGTCCTTGTTTTATAGATGACACTGAGGCCCCAGTTTGAAGGGACTTGACCCAGGCCATTGGCTGAACTGAGATTCCAGCCCAGGTCTCTGGCCTTTCCGGCCCTTCCTTCCCTAGACCCAGCACTGCCTTGTAGGCATGGACACCAAGAACTAGGGCCCTCTGGTCTAAACAGGAGAGGCTGGGCTGACTCTGTGAGAATAAAAATCTTGTAAACTAGACGTTGCTGCACTTGAAGGCCATTGCTTTAGGATGACCTGGAGGATCCAGGCCCCTGAACATTTGGCCAAATGCAACGTGTGGTCTTGTTACAGGGCAGGGAGAGGGGCAGCCCAAACCCCGCAAACCTGCCTATTCTAAATGGGTTCTGCCATCCGCCGCATCAACACAAAACATATGAGACTTTAATGGGAAGGAACTTTAGTACAATTAGGAAACAATACAGGGAAGGCAAAGAATCTAGTTTCTAAATCAAGCACCCAAAGTTACCCGTCCCCTCGTGGGTAAAAGTCCACCCAAGCAGGATTGGCCCAGAACGAGGCCCCAAAGCCTGCCACAAGTCTAAAGCATCTTCCAGTGGGGACCCACAGAAAAGGGTCAGAAACAATCAGACAAGCCTGGAAGGAAAAGAGCAAAATCAACATCAAGATAAAAGCTGCCATTGTCACCTCCCCACGGGTCTCACCCACATCTGTGTCACCCCGTCCACGACCAAAAGGCAAGTGTAGTTTCTTCACTTGTCTCTCCACTCCATGTGCCTCCTCCAGGTCTCCTTCTGGCTCCATTCTGCTTCCTTCCTTCTCAGTCTCCTCTGCAGCTTCTCTCCCTGTCAGCTCCACCCTCCTTTTTGGGTGGGGCAGGGAACCTGGAACCTCCCCCTTTCCTGGGGCCCACCCTGTTACAGTCTGGGGGCCCTGGGTCTGGAGCCTGCGAGCTGCACCAGTTGCTGCTGCAGAATGGATGCTGTGGATCCAGTGGGCGTCACCATGGGGCACGGGAGGTCCCGTCCCTGATCGTTACAGACGCCAGCCCTTTTCTCCTACCAGAGGTCCTGGTGACCCTCAGACCACACACTGGGCTGGATGCCCTGGGGCCTGGGCAGAGAGCTTCCCGTTATAACTTGAGTCAGTTGAGAGAGTGGCGGCTCCTCCTCCGATGCTTATTTTCCTGCATTGTTTCTTTCCTTGGCCTCTAGTCTCTCCCCTCTTCCTCTTAGCCCCTGCTCTCCCCACTCCTCCCACCTCCCTGCTGCTCTCCCCTCCTTTTCAGCTCTCTCCCCTGCTCTGCTTTCTCCCCACTGAGCTCTCCCCACCTCTGTCCTGCTCTCCCCCTCTGCTCTCCCGCGCTTCCCTGTATTTTTCCGTAGGAGCTTACTTTTCCTTTTCCCTCTACTTTTTTTTCCCCTCTTGCCTCCTCACCTCATTTTTCCTTTCTTGACACCCTGCCTCTTGCTCCGCTCTCCCTCTCATAGGAGCCTGTCCATCCTGCTCACTGAGGAGCGGGATCCAGCCGCAGGCCAGCTGCTCCAGTGTCACATCCGCAGACCTCGGCCTGCTTGCTGTGCTGGCTGCTTCGCTGGCTGCTCTCTGCCTGGGTTGAGGCAGAGAGAGGTGTCACCTTCGAGATCTGGCTGTGTCCAGGTCTGTGTTGAGGACCCCAAGAGCTGGTTTCCTGTTCCAGGAGGCCCTAGAGGTCATCTGGTTTAATTTTCTCAGATTTATTGATAAGGAACACACTATTTTTAAAAGCAATTTTGTGCATAACTTCAACAGGTAAAATAGAGCTGCTTTGATTGAAGTTATCAAGGGGTGAGGATCTTGAGCTCATGCCGACTGCAGGTGATTCTATGGAGCCTCCATATTCAGGGGAGGGGGCAGGAGGAAGACATAGACCCCCTGGGGTGTGGTGACACATCTGCTCTACCTGGAGCAGTTAGAGTAGGAAAGGACAGAAGGCACAATGATGCTGGGCTGTTTGACACAGACTGTGGCAGGACCCTGACAGGCAGGGGGCCCAGTGGGAGCTGCTCAGGAGGTGGGGCAGTGAGGCTGGCCTGGGGGAAGGACCTCGACTCCATCCTGTAGTGGCCTCCCACAGCCCTGACTGGAGCTGCACAAGGTCCTGGGTAAAGAATGCAGTCTGGAAGGTCCTTTCTTTGGGAACGCATGTTGCTGGCTTGATGGGGCTGGATCTGGGTACCTGCAGTCTCAGGCCCATGGGCTTACACAGGATCCTCCTGGGTTCCCTCTCCTAGGACCTGGGGTCCCTGGTTCCCTTCCCACTTCGCTCATGGCTGGTCACTTCTCCACCATCGACGTGACTCTGCTCTTGGCTGGGGCTTCTGAGTGACAGCTGGGATCTTGTTTAGCTGACCAGATGCCCTGGGTGGGCGATGGCTTGTGATGGCCAAGGGATTATGGATACTTGTGGCCAAGACTGGTGATTGAGGCATCATTTCTTGGGCTTTCCAGTTGCTTCTGGTGGCCAGAGCTTCCCCACAAGTGCTTTTGGAACCAAGCCAGTTGAAGCCAGAGAGGAACCCAGCTGGTTCCCATGGATCTTTGTTATGGTGAATGTTGGCATAGGACTGCTCTTAGCGCTCACCCTCTGGCCCTGCATCCAGGGCCCTGTGGCAGCAGCAGAGAACCCTGAATTGTCCCCAGCCAGCCTTCCTTTCTCCTTCCTCACCTGGGCTCGAGTCCCCAGGTGCCACACATCACATTAGGGCAGAATGGTCAACACCTGGTACCACTGGCAGCTTTCCCCCTCGCACGCACTTGTGACAGACATCACTAATCAGTCACAGCTCTCCTCCCAGGAGCCCAGAGGAGGGCTCGGGATCTTATTGGAACTATTTCTGATATGTGGTCTCCATTTGGCCACCGGTTTGTTCATTTACGCCTCTATTCAGACATTGCTGAGCTGCTGTTATGCACTGGCCACTGCTCAGTAGAAGAAGAAGACATAGTCTCGTCTAGTCAACAGGAGCCCTGGGTGTGGTAGACACACACGCAGGTGGTTTGCTGCCGTGTTATGCTGTGAGAGAACAGAGTCAGAACTCTGCTGGAGCTCAGAGGAGGCAGGACCTAGTGGCTGAGGGTGTCGTGGGGCAGGCTATCCTCGGGCTGTGTGGGGTTGAGCTAGTGCTCTTCGCTGCACCCAGCACTGAATTATGACGGCGCTGGAAGAGATGCCCAGTCCGAGGAATGGACAAAGCTCACCCACAGCCCCAGCCCCAGTGACACATCCTTATTGGCACCTTCTCTTCCACAGGAGCAGGGCCTGACAGTCAATAACTCCAAAGAGTTCAGCATGTGCTTCACAGAGGTGAGTGGGGCCTGCATGCAGGAGACCAGACCAGGAGAGGCTGTTTCCCACCGACCTCAGACTCAGAGCCCCCAGGCTCATTGCAGGACCCTGCCTGGACTGGGGTGGGCACTTACTGTGCTGCGAAGGGGGGTGGGCTCAGAGGTGCGGCCAGGGCCCTTGGTTGTCCTCTTGGTGAGCAGAGGGCCCCCACGCCTCCCTGATTAAGACAAATGTCCCCGGAGCCCTGCTCTGCTGGTTCTGTGATGTTGAAGGAGCTGCCGCACAGGAGGAGACCTGTGCTGACACAGATATGGGATAGCATAACCCGGGAGAGGAGAGGTGGCATAAGGATCTGCAGAAGCAGAGCGAGCTCAGCAGACGTGTGCAGGGGAGGGGGCTTGGTGAAGAGGAGGGACTCGAGCTCATTGAGGAGCAGTCAGTAGAGCTTCTGTCCCGTCTTCTCAGGAAGCAGGTCCTTGTGGACCCAGAAGCATCTCCTTGAGCTCTTTGCATCTAACAAACCTACTAGGAAGCAGTTTGCCTCTGCCTCACTCAGGTCTGCCTGCTCCCTTGTCTGGTCCTTGGCCTGGTGCCTTCTTGAGGGACACAGACCCTCTTCTTTGCTTGACATTGTCAGCCTGAGGCGAGCAGCCTGCGTCCCGGGCACCGCCACCCTGCTTCCTGAGCCCCAGCTCCCCAGAAGCCTGGCTTCGCCCTCCCCCTTTCGTAAACTTAAGGAGAGTCCCCCTGGGTGGGCCATGAGGACAGGGGCTCGAGGGGCCTCTTCCCTTGCCTTTTACTTAGCTGGACGGCAGCCGCACTGACACCTGCGTTTCTCTCTTGTCCTTCTGGCTTCTTTCTCCCCTTCTGCTGTGATTGCAGCTCACGACAAATATCATCCCAGGGAGTAACAAGGTGATCAAACCTAACTCAGGCACCTGCAGAGCCAGACCGTTGGCCGCCTTGACCACGGCCTCCCTCCTGATGCTGAAGCTCGCCTTGTAGGCGCTGGAGCCGCGTCGGGAGATTTTGGAGAGCTTCGCAGACGAGAGACCCGCCTGACAAAATGGAAACACACAGACACACACACACCTTGCAAAAAAATTTTTTTCCCACCTTGTCTCTGAACCTGTCTCCTCCCAGGTTTCTTCTCTGGAGAAGTTTTTCTAAACCAAACAGACAAGCAGGCGGGCCGCCCGAGAGCCCAGGGGTCCCCGGCCAGGGCAGCCCAGCGCCGAGGCGGCCTGAGGATCTAGAAAGGCCCTTCCCTGGCTCCTGGTGTTTGCCTCTGTGGACCTTGTTGGCGGAAGAGACCGAGCTGAGACCCCTGCAGCCCACGGGCCTTCCTGTTGTGCCTGATGCGGGCGGGGGCAGGCTGCGGCCGCTGTTCTTCTCCAGCCCCCACCCAGCGACCCGCAGGGGCCAGCAGATGACCTCAGGCCACAGGACAGCAAGGCTGGCCGTGGGGACGGGGTGGGGAGGGCCCAGCTGGGCGCCTCAGAACCTCCTCGGGCCTTCAAGAATGAAGGTCATCTGGTCCTCCCTCTGGGCTGGGCTGGCCTGTGTCTGACTGGGGGAGTATGGTGCTGACCCCCTGACTGCAGCACGGGGGTCTGGGAGCCCAGCCCACCTGGGAGACCCCCTTGGGGAGAGGGAGCAAGACTTGGGCACTAGCTCTAAGCCGTCGCTTCCTCCTTGGTAGCAAGAATTTTGAAATCAAAGAGAAATGATGCTTTGTTGGCTTTTTTTTTTTTTTTTTTTTTGGTTTCTCGTGGGTCCATTGGGTGGGTCTCCTTTGGGGGAAGGGGCTGCTGAGGGGCAGAAAGGACCTGCATCCCCTCTGGTCTCTGAAATCTCTCCTGCCCCTCTTCTACCTGCTGTGTCCTCATTCCGAGACATACACCAACTGTATGTACATAACAAGGCTCCTTCCTCAACATATATGTATATACACATCCATATACATATATCGTGTGATTCCCCTTTCTTTCCTTTTTTTAAGAATCAAGATTATGGAAATAATGCCCCAACAGATGAGCGAAAATGTATTATTGTAAAGTTTATTTTTTTTAATAACGTTGTCTATGATGGGAGAATAGAAGACCGGCCCCGTGTCCTTGCCCTGGTCGGGCTGGCTGGGCTGGGGGAGGGAGTCCGATCCGTGCTCACGCTTAGCAAGACTCTAATAAACCTACTAGGAAGCAGTTTGCCTCTGCCTCACTCGGGTCTGCCTGCTCCTGTTTGGGTCTTGGCTCGGTGCCTCCTGCTGGCAGCCTCTTGGTGGCTCCTGGGGACCTTGGGGAGGGGTGTGTGTGTACCTGTGTGCACACGTTTCTTCTATGTGTCCTCGGTGTGGGTGGTGGTTTCACAGCAGGTGGGGGTGAGCCCTGGGGTGCAGGACTGGATGGCACGTCTCAGCGGTGTCTTGTTTGAAGGCTGCCTGGGTGGACCTGTCAGGTGACTGTAGTGTAGGGTAGCTCTTCCGTCGGGGACTCCTGGAATACTTCATTATGCCATGTGAAGGCAGGGACCTGGCTCATGGGTCTCAGTGGAGAAGGAAGGCAGTTATGGGTATTCTAGGGTCAGGGTCCAAAAGAGCAAAGATGTTTTTGTCTCCTTCCTTCCTTCTATTTTTCTCCATTTGCCACTTAGACTTCACCTGCACCTGCCCTGATTTCCCCAGAGAGGACGATGATGTGTTCCCCTAGGCTGTACCTGATCACAGCTTGTCTCCTTCAGGAGAGGAGATGCCATCTCCAGTCTCCCAGTCTTGGCCCCCTTCTACTCTGCCCTCCCTACCAATGACTCTATTTTCTAGTTGCACATACACTAGGAACATGGGGCCTTGGTGGTGACCAAAGGGTGGGGGTACTATGTTTTGGCCCCTGCGTGGAGGGACAGTGAGCCAGCCAGCTCTCCTCCCCAGCCACCATCGGCCTTACTGTGGTAAAGGTGGTGGTAGAATCCACTTGGGGATCCATGTTCTTTGTAAACAGCAAATATGGGTTAACTTAAGGGACTTTTAGGGAACATGACTCGGGAAGCCTAGTGTTGGAGGGTGGGGTGCTAGGCAGGAACCAAGGACATCTGGAGGGACAGAGGCAGGATCTCCGGGATCAGCCTGCTGCCATCTCTGTGATGAATAACCCATTGTTCCAATGGCTCAACTGGGAATTTCTGCCTGTCTTCTATTCTTTTGGGGGAGAAGAGGATGGTTTGCTTCTGGCATCCCTAATAGGAGTTAAACCCTTAGATTGCATAACGGGAGACATCAATTTTTGCCAAAGAAAATGTAGGTAGCACTGTGAAGGCGGAATGGATGCTGGCAGCTTCACTCTGCTTTAAACATCTCCCCATTCAGGTACCACATGGTTCAGATTCCATGATTAGATACTCCTCCTTTTGGTTGAGATGATTCCTGTTCTCTGTCATCCTCTCAAAATATGTCAATAAAATTGGGAAGAATAAACTGTTACTATCCTTATGTTAATTAGTTTAATGGTTTGAATGAATCTTAGTAACGTTAAGATATTTGGATTTGACATTGGGATTGGGTTTGGGAGGCAGATAAGGGTAGAGAAACAAGATTCGGGAGATTAGTAGGGGCTGTCAGAGATATATCTAAAATTATTTTTGAGTTCTGTTTCAAGTTCTGTAGGTGAGAGTCAGCCACATGCAGTATAGACCTCCCTCTGTGCCTTTTCTTCTGGGTTGGCAAAGCTGTCTTTGCCACTAACCTTCTGGGGGTTCCTGATCAGCCAGAATCTGTCTGCAAGGCTGTCTTACCCTGTTTTCTAGGCTCTAGTATCTGGTCCAGTCTGAAACCACATTGGAATGCTCCTCTGTAGGAAAGCTTCTAGCTGGGGACAGTATTGCTCATCCAGGAACCCAGACACCAGATTCCTGCCTATAGTGTCACTACCTCCTCTCACTTGGATGAAGCTAAGGCCCTGTGGAGATCCATGGCGGTGGATGGTCCAATGAGGCTGGTTTGGGAGCAAAGGGCACTTGGCCTGGAGCAAGTTTCTATGCCCAGCTCTGGCACTGACCTAGTGTGGGCCTCACAGCTGAGTGTAGGCCTTGTTCTGATACCAAGCCTAAGCCTGTTATCTGAGTTCCCAGCCCTGCATTCATAACCTGGTTGGCAACACAGATTTCAGGGCTGGGACTGATCCTGCTCTCACGAGTCCTTCCAAGATACAGGCCTTGTTTGACCCTCAAGCCCTCACTGGGCCCTGCTGCCTCCATCAGGCCTTACAGAGTGGCCACCTCTGCCTCTTGGCTCCTGTCTGTGGTTCAGTGGTCTACTGAGATGCCCAGCTAGCAGCCCTGATGTGACCTTACCAGTGCTGATTAACCAGTGGCCCCTGGCCTTCCAGGGTCTGATGTCCACCTACAGTGGCATAACTTCCGGGCCAAGGTGTGTGTGTGTGTCCCTAGTTCCCTGCCTGTCCCACCGACCACCAGGTGCCTGTATAAGACAAAGACTTCAGCCATTTTAGAGCAAAGCACCCATGTTGCCTGTTGGCTGGAGAAATATTTCACTAGCCTTTCCTAAGTTGTGGAGTGAGTTTAAATCAGGGCCCCCAAGTCAGCTAGGATGTGGGGGTAACCAGTTATCTATGTGCTATTACAAGAGAATTTAGTCATTGCCCATTGGCAATTCTTTTAAAAGTCTCAGTGGGGACAGATATTTGTCTTTTAAAAATTGATTGAATTTTTAAGGAAAAGTTAGTCATTTGGTGCCTAAGCTGGTAATTAAGGTTGTAACAATCGTGTGGGTTTGAGTGGTGAAAGGCTGGTTCCTGTCCCTGCGTTTACCTTTGTTATGTTAGTAGCACAAAGTTCTGCTAGGTGGTGGTTAAGGTCCTTCTCATCTCTAAACAGTCTCTGGAGGGGACAGAAGGGAAGGGAGAGGAGAGAGACAGAGATGCACAGAGGCTGCCTGAGGTGGTTCCCTGCCCAGCGCCTCCAGTGTTCTGACAACGGGTGGCTACTCTGTCCGGGTGACCTTGAGTTTCCAAGTTTTGATGTGGTTTTAAAACAGCCATCCACACTCCTTCAGCTGCACCTCATATGATAAAACGAGAGTACACAGAAGGGGCTTTGACACCTCACCAAGTTGCTGGTGACTTAGTGGTACTAAGAGTCCATTAAGCCAATTACTGCCACATTCCACTTCCAGAGGGAAGGGGCTTCTTGGTGCTATACTTTCTAGAGCAGAAAAAGGGGGTGAACATTTAAAAAAAAATTAATAGCATAACTGAGTACAAAACCCCAGAACAAATGTAGATGGACTCATTGATGGAAGAAAAAACCAGAAGAGAGGCCCAGGGGTGCAAGGAGAGGAGCCACAAAGCCCATGGGCCATGCACACGCAAGTGGGGGCTGCAGGTATGGTTGCAAAGTCTTGCTCAGCCCGGGGCATCAGGCAACGGGGTTGAAATTCGCCTGTGCTCAGCTCATCCGTCCTGTGCCCAGCCTGGGCCTCAGCCCTAAGGAGGGAACAGCACTTCCTGGTTTGCACAAAAGCTCCTGTATGAGCTCGGGCAGGACCTGTGGCCCAGAGCGAGCAAAGCCGCTGCTCCAGATGGGAGAGGAGAAGGCTGGACATGGTAGTGGGGTCACAGGGAGCCCCTGCATGACTGTTAGCAAGTTACTTAGGCTGGACCCTGCTTTCTTTTTCCATATCCGCCAAGGGGAGGGTCAGGGGCACTGCTGTCCACTGTTCCTTTCCAAATGGGATCCGGAAATTCCATGACTACAGTCATTTTTGAGCCCACCAGCCTGGCACAGAATGACTTGGAAGGAGACAGAATTCATCTCTCTTTCAATAAACACTGCCACCCTGCTTGGTTGCTCCAATTTTTCACCAAAAATTGGTGAAATTTGAGTAGAGCTGCGGAGTGCTGATGTGGGGCTGGTTCTGGCTATAGTTGATGGTCATGACCTTTGCACCCTGCCCTGCACCCCCTCCTTGCAAGACAACCTTCCCTGGAAAGTCAATACCTGTGGAGTTCTGACGTTCCATCCTGGGCTCCCTCCCTCAGTACTGCTGGGCAGTCAAAGGTCATTGAGCCTTCCTCATGAGGACCACCCAGCTGGCGGTGACTGGTGTTCAGGAAATTCCTGCAGGCTTCCAGCAAAACATCCTCCTTGATTTCTCCTGGGCCTGCACCATGGGCTGACCTCCCGGCTCTCCCTCTCCTGGCAAACCAACATGCAAGAGGTGACAATTTAAAATAAGAGCTCAGTTTTCACTCCATTTAAAAACCAGAGTCCAGCCTGCTTCCAAACTAATCCTTGTAGGATGACACTTCTGGCCCAGCCCATCCTTCACTTTCATCCTCTGTGGAAGATGAAAGGCCTTTTTTTCAGGGACCCCAGCAACCTGAAATCACTCTTAATTCTGATTGTGTTAGGAAGCTGCAGGAGTGTGAGGCTGCCATGACGTGAGAACCCACACTACACCGCTGCCTCCAGGAGATGGTTTACATTCCTTGGGGTCCATGGCTGTCACCAGGGGCTGCTGAAATACCCTGCTTTTCCAAATGGAGGAGACTTGGGGGTGTTGTCATCCCTGGCAATGGGAGTTGCTAGCCCCTCAAACTCCCCCAATTTGTGCATCTCCTTGTGTCGTCCCAGGGCAGCCATGGAAAGGTAGGTCTACAGAGAACCCCAGGCAGTCTGAGGCACTGGTGTTAGCGCCCACACTGCTGGGTCCAGGTGCCTAACTGTGGGTCTGATTCCTCTTGGGCACTGGCTGGCAGGACTTCCTCCACACCACCCTAAACCTCCTCCTGAGTGTTCTTGGACAGAAACCCTGCTCAGAAAGCAGGCCTTGGCCTTCCTCCCTGTGCTGTGGGGAACTGTCTCCATAGTGTGGACTGCTCAGCCTGGCCAGGCCTGGGCATCTGCATGTGGCCACCTATGACTTCAGGGTGAAATTGATGGTGGCAAGACAGTGGGAGGACTTGGGGGGGGTGCTACCTCTTCTTATACAATTTGACCGATGGGGTGATGATAACTGGTGGAGAGAACCCAGGGGCTCTGTTCAGGGTTCTGTTCATCCTCTGCAGGACCTTGACTTCCAACCCTGCAGGCTGCTTCTCCAGAGAACCCCATTTTTCATATCCTCACTTCACTTACCGTTGTCAGGCCAGGGCCTCCAGATGCTTTGGCAGATGAGCGTGGGGTTTTGCAGGAGGGTGGTTCAGGGCAGGTCTCTGGCAGATGAGCTAATGTTACTGAGCAATGAGGTGCCCATCGGTGGGCACACATCAGGTAATTACAGCAGGTATTTGAAAAATCAGCTATTTGTGAATCAATTGATAAGGAGGTAGGAGATAAACACAAATCTGTCTCCCCAATTAAAAAAGGAAATGAGGGGCCTCCCCTGTGGCGCAGCAGTTGAGCGCTGGGTTGCGAAGCTGCCCGAAGCCTCTGCAGCACAGGTTCGATCCCTGCCGCCAGGCGAGGATCCCACATGGCGCGCAGACCTCTCCTGCCGCTCGCTGCTCCCCTCAGCAGTGTATCGTCAGTCTGCCTGTTCTGTTCCCCACTCTGGCTCTGGTGAATTCTCTCGCCCTCCCGTGCTTTTGACTGTACCCAGTGCTTGTATAAATAATAAATAAATAAATAAATAAATAAATAAATAAATAAATAAATCTTTAAAAAAATTATTAAAAAAAAAAAAAGGAAATGAGGTTATGTGGGTTTTGAGGACCAGGGTTGAGAATAAAGGGTTTACATTTTATTGGCTGAAAAGTGGGTTGGGACCAAGAAAGAATTGTGGGCTTGGCTAGTCACAGGGTATTCCACACATGAAGTGTTCAGAGGCTTTTCTTCAGATAACGGGGTCTCTAAGTTCTGTTGGTGGTCCTACCTCTGGGGAGCCCTCTCTTCTGCATTCTTCGTCTCTAGCTGGCCTTGGAGCTCAACTCAAGGTTGTTTGCTTCTGCTTGCTGAGGCTGTGACAGGTAAGGGGCAGGCTCTGCTGTCTGTAAATACAAGCCTCAAGGAGAAATGTCAAGATAAGTTATTTCCTCCTTTGTACTTTAGGGTCTGAGATCAATTTAACCATGTAGCATCGGCCTCACTGGTTGGTGTCCAGTTACCACGTCCCTGGCTAGGCATTCAGATCGGCACAGCCTGGGGGTCCCGCTGGCCTCCTTCAGGAATTCCCTTTCATCATCTTCCTTTTATACCTGCTTCTGCTTGGCTGGATTCCTCTGGTGTCACCTTTGAATGTGAGTATTTTGCTCAGCATTTGCAGGCCCTGGAAAAGTCAAGACTTTCTTCCTCCAAGTCCTCTGCTTTAGGTCAGGTTGTACTTTCTCTTAGCTGGCCAGACCCAGCTAAGCAGATTCTCAGGGACTCGTCCATCCATGTCCCTGTACTAGTTGCTCTTGGGCCCGTCAAGACCATCCCTTTGGCCATCTCCCTACTCTTTGACCCAAGCCCT